TCCCCCCCCACAAACCCTCCCCCACCTCCCAGAACTTCAATGGTATCTGATGGTCTTCAAATCTCTGATTTTGGTTCTTTAAATTCTTTTTCTTCGTTTGGTCCAAGAAATTCCACTTCTAGCAGCACAACACGTGGCACCCAGAGTGCCCCGTGCCGTAGTTTGAGCACCACAGTCTGTCACACACTGTGTGGAGTGGACGTCTCTAACAGCAGAATGGGTTCATGACATGAAGTGAACTCACAGAGTGACATTTGGACTGAACACTCCGTTTCAAAAATAAAAAAAAAAACATAAAAAAAAAGTACTTTCACAGTACTGCGTAGTGAAGTATCACGTTTAAAAGCCAGGGCGGCGTCTCCGCTGCGGAGCGGGTTGCCATCAACCCTCGCGTCTCAGTGTGGAGGAGAAGAACTTTAATAGCTGCCAGCGTGAGGCGCTGATCAGCCGAGCACATCAGCCTGGTGAGATTCAATATGTCACCACCACGCAGGGAGAGAGGGAGAGAGGGCGAGAGAGTGTGTGTGTGTGTGCGTGTGTGTGTGTGTGTCTTGTTAGCGCTGGGTGTAACAGTGAAAGTGATGGCACTAATGTGGGAATGACAAAGGAGCTCGTACTGTGAGCTATATGAAGACGTGTGACATCAGCGAGGGTCCTGAACATGGCACGTCCCCCAGAGTGTGTGTGTGTGTGTGTTCACAGCTACATCTGACACTGTCACCTTCGTTCTCTGTGTGTGTGTGTGTGAACGTAGGAGATGCAAATATACCTGTACTTCGTCAACGCAGTAACTCATCTTTGATTCACACAGAGATCTCTGGATGGAGCTTTGATTCTGAAGAAGGGTGGAGGAGGACCTGGGGAGGTGGAGGAGGAGCTGGGGAGGTGGAGGAGGACCTGGGGAGGTGAAGGAAGACCTGGAGAGGTGGAGGAGGACCTGGGGAGGTGAAGGAAGACCTGGGGAGGTGGAGGAGGACCTGGGGAGGTGAAGGAAGACCTGGGGAGGTGGAGGAGGACCTGGGGAGGTGAAGGAAGACCTGGGGAGGTGGAGGAGGACCTGGGGAGGTGAAGGAAGACCTGGGGAGGTGGAGGAGGAGCTGGGGAGGTGGAGGAGGACCTGGGGAGGCGGAGAAGGACCTGGAGAGGTGAAGGAGGACCTGGGGAGGTGAAGGAGGAGCTGGGGAGGTGGAGGAGGACCTGGGGAGGTGAAGGAAGACCTGGGGAGGTGGAGGAGGAGCTGGGGAATCAGGTCCTGATGAAGGTGGCCAAGGTGGAAAGGTGGAGCGAGAGGGTGGAGGAGATGAAGAACATCAAGGTGTTGTAGTGAGGGTGGAGTGGATGGCGACGAGAGACAGAAGGTCCATGAGACAGAGGTGAGCCGTGTGGACAGAGCCCAGGTCAAAGACACCCTCCAAACATTCCACAAGAGAGACTCCTCACTCTTAACTCCCCCTCCTCTCTCTGCTCTTCCTCCCCTGACATTCCTGCAGGGGGTGCTGCAGCACCTGTGCCCCCCCCCCCCCCCCGTGGCAGCGACCTGAGACTGGGGTCTCACCCCCAGTGAGGACACTCACTGGGGTTCAGACCCCGAATCGCTGAGGTCTGAGCTCCCTCCTTAACTGCACACTAGAGGGCGGTACTGTCTCATCAGTGTGACCCCGAAACTCTGGTGCGCCGCTCTGACGTGGAACCAAAGTTTTGAGCTGAGTGCAGCATTAATCCTGACCAGGAAACAAAGAGAGGGAAGTCTGGAGATTAATGAGACCATATGTCCTGGTGTTGTGTTCTTAGTTTGTCTGCTCGTTACATTAGCAGGTTCTCTAACCTTTACATACCATCCACCTAACGGAGGAAGATTAATTCTCCACCGCCTCAGCCACAGATGGTGTTTTTGGCCACATTTCTCTGTTTCACGAGAGCAGAGTAAAAATATTAATTACATTTTTTTTGGGGGGTGGAGAGATATAAATAATACAACCCTCCCAAAAAACATATATATACACATATATATACATATATATACGTATATATATACATATATATACATATACATATACATATATATAGATATACATATATACACATATATATAGATATACATATATACATATATATAAGCATAAATATATACATATATATACAAACATATATAATATTTAAACACATATACTTACATACATATATGCATGTTAATGTACACATATACTTACATACATGTATGAATATATGACATACATAATTTCCAAAATGTTACTCACAAGGGATTAATACAGTTTTATCTATCTGTACATATATAGATATATTTGTAAATATTTGCATACATGTATGTATATATTTATATATTTGCATACTTGTATGCATATATTATATATACATATGTAAGTACATACATATATACATATATAAATATATATATAATTATATTCATATATACACATATATATATACATACACATATATATAGATATATACAAATATACATCTATATATATATGCAGATATATTTACTGACCCAAGCGATAATATAAACAGGTCACCTCAGAGTGTGAACGTTTGAAGCAACTCAACCTTTATTGAAACTGAAGAGCAGATAAAAACATTAAGGCAGACGAGCAGCGAGCGTCGAAGCTGTGGTGAAACCTTAACTCAGACCGAGGCAGGTTCAACTGTGTGTTTTTGACATGTCGATTATGAAGAGATGGAGAGTCTAAGGCAGGGGTGTCAAACATACGGCCCGCAGGCCAAAACCAGCCCACAAGAGGGTTCAATCCGGCCCACAAAAACAATGTTGGTGATTATATTTCTATATATATATGATTGAGTTTGACAGCCCTGGTCTAAGGGATCTGTTGTGTTGGTGTTGGTGACTGTTTTTGTTTTTTGGTCACAGCCCCTTGATTTGCCTTTTAGTAAAACAGAATGTTAGAAAAATGGAAAAGAGAAAAAAATCCGAGACAGTGAAATCTGATTAACGATCAACTGCTGACCAATCAGAAGATGAAGCTGTTTGGACACAGGTTGAAGGTTGAATGTCATAACAAGCGTCAAAAAGATCTTCGTGATGACGTCACCTGTGATGTCAGGACGTAAGGATGACGTGAAGCGGAAAAGTAAGACGCAGGCAGACGATCTGCTGCGTTATTGACCTTTACAGTGTCAGGAAGTTTAAACAGAATGGATTTAAGAAGTCACTGCTGCAGAATAATCACTGAAAACAAAGGCGCTCCTGCTGGGAGCTGTCCCTGGTGCTGATCTGACAGCAAACAGGAAGCTGAAGATCTGCGTCTTCTGGAGAGTTTGGGACTTTTCTTCTTTTTATGGAGTTGTTATGACAATATTCAAGGCTGTAATTGCTGCGCAGCTAAAACTACAAGTGCTTAGTTACAGCGAGGTTAGCATCTGAACCGTGCAGATCTGGTTCTCGGCGTGTTTTTGGGGTTGGTTTTTATCATTCCAAACACTGAACCAAACATTTTTACTGCATCTGCAACACTGACAAACAAAGAAAAACTGTTCTGTTTGTGTTCATGCCATGTTGGGATTTACAACATAACTAGTGATGTCCGATATTTACATTTCGCCGATATCCGATATTGTCCAAAATCTTAATTTCCAACCAATCCAATCCCCTGATTATTAAGATAGAGCTGCAATGCTGCCATCTAGTGGCCTTCACTTTAATATACAGCTGTTTTTCCTCAAAAAACAATTTCTTTGTCACAATATACAGCTGTTTTTCCCCAAAAAACGATTTCTTTGTCACAATTTTTGGTGAAACCCAGGCATTGCGTTTTTGGGTTTTCATTATCGGAGGAAAAATCCGATAACGATTCTTACAGATATTACATAAGTATGCTAACATCCAGCCGATAATATCGGACATCCTTAAACATAAGCATTATTTTTTTCAATTGTTTTTGTTTGTTAGCCATGCCTGTTAAAAGAAGATGATGCAATTATTAACAAAACAAATAAAAAAGTTTGTGTGTGTGTGTGTGTGTGTGTGTGTGTGTCAACTGGAGAGCCCAACCTCCAGAACCCCTCGTTCACCAACACCTGCCTGGACGTCGACGTTCTGTTACAGTGACGTCGTCTCTGGATCCATGTTGTCGTTCTTTTTGTTCAAAGCTTGATGAGATGAAGAGGAGCAACAACAGCAGTCAGTGAGAAACTGAAGCTCAGAGACAGGAAGTGTGTGTGTGTGTGTGTGTGTGTCTTCTCAACGTTCACGTCTGGATCCTGTGAGTGTGCGGCGCTCAGTCCGTCTTCTTGGCCCAGGCCATGTCGTCCGACCGGGGTTTCAGTCCAGTCAGGTACTGGATCAGCCGCTCCATCCGTCTCCAGAAGCCCAGCTGGTCCAGTGGGTAGTTGCACCAACCTGGGGGGCGGGGGGCAGGGGCAGGACATAGAAACAGGAAGTGGATTTGTTTTTGTTTTTTTTTTCTCTGAACTAAAACAAACACTGACACGTATTTATGAATATATTAGCACGAGGTAAATGTTTAAATACATGTATGACTGCAGGCCACATGTACATGTACACATGAAGTACACTACAGTACATGAAGTACACTACAGTACATGAAGTACCCCCCAGACTCCTGAACAGTATTTGACAACAAACAACCTGGACAAACAAACAAACAAAGACGGACAAGGAGCAAAAACACGGTGCTGTAAATATATACTGTACATATATATATACAGTATATATTTACACATATATGTGTGTGCGTGTTTGTCCCTTGTCTGACCCTCCCTCTGCTGGAAGACATAAAGAAACCAGAGGTTCTCCGTCCCCTCCTCTCTCCTTCTTTCTCTCCCTATTCATTTCTCTTTCTCCCATTTTTCTCCCTTTTTTTTTGTATTCTTCCAACCCCCCGCCCTCCCCCC